ACCTCCTCAGATCATCGTGCGCGATCTTGCAGGCGAGTTTGTCAGCCAACACTGGAAAAATCTACTCCAGCAGGACGGCATACAGTCAGTGACGTCAGCTGCACCATGGCAGCGAGGCAGGATAGAAAGACATGGAGGAACAGTGAAGGAAATGTTATGACAACCATAGCCCAATCACCAGTGATAAAGACTTTGGCTTTGCATTATCTCAGTGTTTCCAAGCCAAGAATAGCATGAGTGTGGTGAATGGTTACAGTCCCGAACAAGCTTTCTTAGGAAGATCAAGTCGAATCCCAGGGTCCATATGTAGTGATGAGACAACCATTGCATATTCGCTAGAAGAAGGAGAAGACACCCAATCCGATCTGTTCAATCATAAGATGCAAGTTCGTACCGAAGCCCGGAAAGCCATGATTGAAGCAGACAATAGCCAAGCCATTCGTAGAGCTATTCTTAGACAATCCAGGGGTAGGGAACACGACTGGCATTGCGGTGAGCTGTGCATGGTTTGGGGCAAAAGAAGAGCACCCAACAAGTTGGAAAAGGGGAGATGGGTAGAGCCATGTCAAGTGATCATGAACGAAAAAAAGAACCATCGTTTGGGTCACACACATGAATTGTTTGTTGAGAGTTGCAAGAGAAACCATGCGATCCGTGTCCCTGCGAGAGTTTCGAAGCACCATGGCTTTAACCAGATCGGTGATCAGAGGAAGCTACAAGCGATGGCAGAGCAACTACAAGTGCAATTGAAGGAAAAGAGCGGAATGTTACAATTTTCCGATCAAGTCGACAATACAGAATACACTCACAGAGAAGCCGAGCCATCCATAGGTTCCCCATCGATAGCACCGACTGAAAGGTCACTCCAGCCAGAGGAAGAGCCTCACCGCCGAATGTCCGGCACTGGATCACACATAAGTCTTCCGCCAGGTCTGGGTCTGGACGCCAGTCAGGTGCCAATCATCGACCCCAATGCAGAGGAAGAATTAGGTAGAGAACCAGGAAATGAAGAGCATGATCCTGTAGGGCCTGATAATGAACCAAATCCATCGGAATCAAATGGGGAGTCATTGGTGGTAAATGCATGTGTAGTTGAAGGGGAAAGCCAGGAAGGGGTGAGTGATAGGGGCACTCTATGGAGTGATGAATCACTAGAAAGAGCTGAAGCACAGTTTTGCAGCTTTGATTTCGTAGCTCCAGTGAAAACATTGGAGAAGTTTTGCAAGAATCCGTGTTTCCATGCCGAAGCCTTGAATAGAGCGGCAAAGAAAACACACACCGAAGTGCATTACAGGCAACTCACGAAGCAAGAACAACAGGAATTCGATCAAGCAAAGAAAAAGGAGTTGAAATGCTGGATAGAGACAAACACGGTGGAACCACTGCTCAGAAACAAAATTCACCCTACCCGAATCATGACTTCAAAGTGGGTCCTGACCTGGAAGGAAGATCACACCTCCCCTACAGGCAGGAAACCGAAGGCAAGGTTGTTGATTCGGGTTTTTCAAGACCCGGACGTAGGAGTGGTCTCGACAGAAAGTCCAACACTATCCAGAGATGGCCGAATGATGATCTTTCAAGCAGTCAGTTCCCTTAAATGGGAGCTACAGTCCTTCGACATCAAACTGCGTTTTTTGAGAGGGCGAGCTGATGAACGACAACTAGCCATATACCCTGTACCAGAATTCCAGGAGCTGCTTAACTTGTCAGAAGAACATGTTTTGCTGTTGAAAGGAAATGGATACGGTCGGGTTGATGCTCCACTTTTATTCTACAAAGCGTTTCGGAAGTGCTTAGGGGCTGAGGGATTTGAAGCACATCCTTTGGACAACTGTTTGTTTCTTGAAAAAAACCAAAAGAAACCCAGCACTCCTCGATGGCATTTTAGGTACACGTCGACGATGGAATCGGCAGGGGTAACCAAAGGTTCAATCAAGCTCTTGAACAAGTGCAGCGGAAACTACCGTTTGGCAACAGGGAATTTCGTAAGTTCAAGTTCACTGGACTTAACATTGAGCAGCGGGAAGATCATTCGATAATAATCAACCAAGGGGAATACGTGCACCAGATAGATCCAATAGATTTTCCCAAAATGTGAAGAAAAAATACCGGATCCAAAATCACCAGCCATGAGTTGCAACAACTGAGGGCATTGTGTGGCAGTCTCCAGTACGCAGCTGTGCATTCACGTCCCGATATAATGGCTAAGGTCTCATTTATGCAAAAGAGGATATGCAGTGCAGAGGTTAAAGACTTGATAGAAGCAAGCAAAATACTCAAGGAAGCAAAAGAAACATCAGAAACGTCAATACTTGTGCAGCCAATTCCTATGAGTGATGTGACCTTTGCAAGTTTCGGTGACGCGAGTTTTGCATCGGAGAGCCAGATGAAAGCCCAGCAAGGTGTGTTCATTGCAGCATGCACCAAGGAACTTGGTGAAAATAAGATATTCGAGATATCACCCATAGCATGGCACTCAAAGCAAAACAGCAGAGTTGTTCGGCCAACCTTAAGTGCAGAGGCATGCGCAATGTCATCTTCGCTAGATAAGCTAACATGGATTAAGTGCATGTGGGCAATCATAAAGGATGGCAGGTTCAAGCGGCAAAAAACCGAAGTTTCGCTACAGGCCGAGCCTAAAGGACTTTTGATAACGGACTGTAAAAGCCTTTATGACCTTGTGAATAAGATGGCAACACCTAATTGTCAGGAATGGAGAACCACCATAGAAGTGATGCTCATCAAACAACAATCATCCGAGAACACAGAGTGTAGATGGATATCTACGGCCATCATGCTGGCAGACCGAAGCCAATGGACTCTTCGTTCTTGAGAAAGGTGCTCGGTCTGGGCAAGTTCAGGATATATGACGACACCAGCTCGTTGAAGGAAAATCCGGACAAGAAGTTCAGTGCTAGATGGGTGGAGGCATTCGGAGAAACTCGGCCTCCTGATAGCTCAACAAGGCCGAATGGAGGTCGGGCACCTCCTGGAACAACTCTGTGAGCTCATTCTCGAAGCTCTGAATTTTCAATGCATCTGCATCGCCTGACTTTGCCAGTTGGTCCAACTGCTCATAGAAAAACTCCTCATCTTCCAGCTGGGCTGCCAACACGCTTTGGTCAGTGAACTGTGGGTCGTACGAATCGGTCTCGGAGTTCTCGTCCACATAGTTTGTTGGGTAGACCTTTTTCTTCTCTGAACCAGGCCCTGAAAGAACACTTGTGGATAGGCTCCTCATCGCATTCGCTACGGCCTCTTTCTCAAAGACCCCATTGGTCATGGTGAGGAATCTTCTTCTTGTCCTCGTGAGTCAAATTGCTCTGCTTTAACAATACGAATGCAGTCACTGATTTCAATGTAGTGTCCTGACCCACTTACTCGAAAGCAACGTCCGACCGATTCACAAAAGACTGTGTACTCTCATCTTGCTTCTGTGTTGTACGGTAGGTGGCTTTCTCAAACAATTCAAACGTCTTCAACTCAGCGCTTTCTTCCCAGGCCGACAGTGCTTGTAACAATGTCTTGACTCCATTCTCGGGATTGGTTAGGAGTTCCGGCTTGATGTTCCTGACTTGATGCCAAGCCGTCCCTTTGCAGAGCAGCGCAAGTCGAGGGGCCAACATTGGCCTGTCCTTCTTGGGACATATCCCGCTGAGCAATCTGACCTTCGCGATGTACTCCTTCACATCGTCATGCCCTGGATCAACACTGGGTAGAAGAGTCCAAATCGCATTGTTGGACTTATCGTCCGAACCGGCAGCTTCAGAACCCATAGCTTTGCGGATGCCACACCCGAGCTAATGGGCTCCGCTACCAATGTGCGTGAAATCCTTCCACCCACAAAGGTAGCCTCCTCGCCCCAAACAACCAACCTAAGGTCCTACCAAAATCCTAAAGCATGGTGGTCCACCACCCTCGCAGTGCGCGCACCTTTTCAGATGCGTCGTCCGTCCTGTGTCTGGTGTTCTGTTGAGCTCATTCGAAGGTGGTCGATCGGTCGAAGCACGAATCAAATTCACATATACGTATATATATATATATACATTTTATATCTACACGTATATATATTTACCCTTTATACTTGAGGCCGAGGGTAGGTGACGAAAGCTAGCAGGGGTGCATCCGGACTGGTGGGACATCAAGCGGAGTGAGGCAAATGCTCATGAGGTAAAACGTTGTTAAATTTAAGACACACAAACAGCAATGACACAGCCAACCTTAGAATTGAAGTCCCCGATAATTAAGGAAGCGTGGCTGGACTTTGCCACACTGTTCGATGCATCCGATGTGTTCACGAACCTGTGAGCTTGTTGAATCTGTTGCACCGTATCCCAAAACCTCCACGGAGGAGTTGAACCAGTGTGGATGCCATAAGAGGTGCCCAAGAGGTGTCCCAAAGGCAAAACAAAGCTGCTTGCATGATTTGTTTGGTTTCTTCTGTCGATGTCGATGTCATGAACATGTGAGCTTGTTGAATCTGTTGCACCGTATCCCGGAGGAGTTAAGCCAAAGTGGATGCCACAAGAGATGCCCGAGAGGTGTCCCAGAGGCGTCCGAGGGGGGAGTTGAACCCACGGGGGGGGGGGGGGGGCCTACATATGAAGTTTTCACGTGATGCGGCGATCCCGAAGATTCCAGCCCCTCACTTGCTAAAGCAAGGACAACTCCAGCTAGCTGGTGCTAGCTTTCGTGATAAATGCATATACACATGTCGTCCTACCGACTGAATACCAGCGTGAACTTGTTTGGGCGGCTTTGGATGTGTTCTGGCGGTGCTCTCTATATCTTTACGTTGCAGAAATGCGATCCGGTGCTCTCTACATCTTTATGTTGCAGAAATGCGATCCAAGTCAGATACTTGGCTGCTTGCTGTCCCAAGCTTCTGTTGTATTGGAAGAGCTCCGCGGATGCAAGACCAAAGGCCTGCACAACTCCAACCATTTCAGCAGCAGCAGCAGCAGAAAGGAGATTTCCAACAAAGCCTCTTAACACACCACTTTTTGCCCCGCCAGCTTCTCAGCTCTCAAAGGTCGATGCTGGAAACGTTTAACCAGAAATTGCTTAAGTTGCACAGCTGACAAAAAATCCGGTCACACAAATGCCTGGATCAAAGACGAAAGAAAGCGGTTGAAGAACACCGTCCATTCTGTGCTCGGTCATCTCCACTCTGCTGACATCGGCGCTCTTGCAGAGGTGGGCGCGAGGGCGGATGATTAAGCTAGACCCGGTCAGCACATGGCAAAGGCCAAGCTCCAAACCAAACAGCATCAATTCCGTCATCTCTGAAAGGCCATCATTGGTACAACATGCCAATAAGAGCCGCCAAGTCTGTTCCGTGACTTGTCAACGCGTGGCCGCACTGTTGGGTCCCAGACTGCGCCGTTCAAAGCCTCATCTGCTTTGAACTTGATCGGAGTGTTGGCCTGTGAAAGAAGTAAGGCTCCCTGCAGGCTGACCGTGTACGCAAACAAGCATGGCCCAGGCTGGCCATATGTGAGCTGTGGCAGCTGTGGCTTGCCCGACTTATCACCAAGATTGCTCGACTCCTTCCCTGGGCACCAGCCCCAAAGGATCACATCAAACGGAGGGATACTTTCTGTGACCGTGATGGCGGTGACACGAGAAACAAAGTCATCTGCAAGGGTCACATTGTCCTCGAAAATGGTTGCACAGGCCCACTTTTCAAGCAATATTGTTTCGTAGATCTTTCTGTGGCCGAGGGCTTGCACCAACTCTTTCGAAAGGCCTTGATTGAACTCTGGCTTTTGGGATGGCCAAAACCGAACCGAAGCTTTGAAGCCAGCCTTTTCAATCTCCCGGGTCGTACGATCACGGCCTTGTTGCCCTTCCGAACCCTCAGAAATCAGGACATTCACGTGGGCTAATGGGTCGCACTCGGCCTCTGGCGGCAGCTCCATGAATGGCTTCCGGCGGTCACGCTTGAGAAAGTCTCCATCGACAAACAGCTGCGTTGGACGATCGACCAGGTCTCCACCTTGCCGCACCAAACCTGCCAGCTTTTCCTGTTTGCCCTTCGATCCTTCAGTCCCGTCCTTGGACATCTCGCCTGAGTTTTCACTTGGGAGCGTGCTTGTGCTCTGCGAAGTTTTTGCAATCAGGAACTTCTGCTCGTGGTGCTCATCATGGTCCAGTCGACTCAATCGAGCCCGGAGCTGTGTTGCACTCACGATCTGAGGAAGAAAACTCCCCACGAAAATGCCAAAACCCAGAACGAGGAACAGAACAAAATAATGCCTCATGTCGCATCTTTGCGACTGTCATTTGCATCTTCCCGTAATCTACAATGGCCAGGCTTGAGCCATTGGGAAACGGAACGAGCTCGATTTGATTACAGTAATTCATTGGCCGTTTGATTGCTGGATCGATCGGGCACAAAAAGAAGAGAATCGGAGAGGCACGGTACTGTATGCGCATACATATATATATATATTCTTGCGTGTGTGTGGGCACGTATCTCGAGAGAGAGAGAGATTTAAGAAAAATAGATAGAAAGAAAGAAAGAAAGAGATGAGGTAAATACAGTATAGTCAAATACAGTGATTGACACACACATAAATGGATAGGTCAAAGCTTGCCGTCATGCTGTGCAACTTGTCCTAAGGGCGTTGGTCAACTTGAGCACATGTTCCACAAATCGACGACTATCAGATTATCAAGAATAATCTCCTCCACGGTCTACACACACGCAGACAAATCACTAGCCAAGAAAAGGCCAATAAGCAGAGGCGACTAGCAGGAAGGAGAGGCGAAATATGTCCAGAAATCGCTTGTGGAGCAAACTGAGATAAGTGCGAGGCACGAACCTATGTTCAAGTCCCTAATCTTTGTCGTGCTGTCCACACATCCCATTGTGCCTCCAGCAAGACCATGGCGAAGGCCCTACCAAACTGGCCTTGAGCTGATAGCTTCTCTGAACATTATAATTACGTGTGCACTTCAAGGTGCCCCAACACGAGGCCAGTTCATGCGTGCTCTGCTCCCCTCTCTATCTCCCTATAAAAACTCAAAATGTTAAGCAGGGTGCAAAGAAAGTGCAACAGCCTTTGGGTGAGTCACCCTCGAGGCATCTCGAGGCATTTCTTGCCACGGATTCTCTGTGCGATTGTGCCCTGGCTTGGCCATGGCTGATTGTCCCGCTTTAAGCGAGACTCTCGCCAAATCACTAACACGGGGCGGGCCAGCCTTCCGTCCGCCAAGCGCGGCTGAAGACCACAAGTTCCCACCATCATATGAACGCCCAGCGCATGGGGCTAAAGAAGGCAAAATGCAAAACAACAAGCAGTATGTCACTTACAGTATGTCCCTTTGGGTGTTGCTACAGGGTGTTATGCATGTTTTGCTTCATCGTTATCTTCATCATGTCAAAGACCTGTACAGACTTTAGAAGCCAAGATTCAAGACCATTAATCCATTGATGCCTGTGACCTGTTCAAAGCTGCGTCAGTGATCTCACCCTCGTCCATCACTGTTGTGTGCTTCGTAAGGCGTCCATCCATTCCTCCCTGGTGTGCGCGGATTTGGTGCAGTCAAACCTGGACAGCATGCTGTTGCCAAATTAACTTCCACGCGCATTGATTGGGTACTCCGACTCCTACGCGCCTGTATTCTAAGTGTTAACATCTGCGGCAGAAAAATACTGTTGGCCAAGGGGCTCAAAAGTCCTCTGCGCATCGCTCATGTCCTGCCGCCAAGATAGCAACTCCGAGAGCGCAAAAAACAGCATGTTTCGGTGGAAATACCACTATATACTAGTAACCAGAAGCTACTAGGTGGAGGCCATCGCTATTAGGTTGGAGGCCATTACTACTGGTAACAAGAAGCATGTTTGGGAAATACCTCTTGCTCCCGAAGTGGGAAATCTCTGCTGAGCACATCAGGCCACATGTCTGCTACACAGTGTCACGCACTTAAGCGAACACGACAAAACTTGTATATATATATATATATGTGTATATATATATATGTGTGTGTGTGTGTTTAACCACATTGTTGCTTGGCTTAAGTTGCTGAATAGTCCAGCTGCCACCCCCTTGCAGCTCACATCTCAGGCCTTCAAAGATCCTTCCTGCCAGGTGTGAATTTTGTGGGAAAGCTCCAGGTGCTCACATGCAGCATGATCGATTTAAATCATCATTTGTTGCAAGTCTTGGAATGGGTGGTCCAATCTCACAGAAAAGAACACTCATCTCTGCAGGCCTGCCATTTGCCGTCAACCGATTCAATCGCAAAGACCAAAGGATTCTGCTCATCTGGCATGATACGCGCACGACTCACCTTGAAGTTGATGAAACCTGCAACCACTTTGTGCAAAAACCTCGAGCTGTGATATGCACAGCATGTGCAGGGAACATCACACATCTAAGAAAGAGGTAAGGCTCTGGGAACGTGCCTCACCTTGTATTTTCATTTGTTTTCCTCTTTATTCCGACGACCTGCAGTACTCTCTTGTAGGGAGTGAACCTTTGCACCCTTCAGGATCAGCATGGCTGAAGACCTCGTCCGCAGGAATGTCACGGTCCCTCCTGTCGTCAAGCAGGTGTCAGACGACACAACGAATTGCAACCATTTACTTGAGCCTTCACTGGAACGTGCGCCTCCACCAAATGAGACGACCCTCATGAAGAACAAAGTACCTGCCGAAAAAGTATACTGATGTAGATGCAGATATGGATAGACCAAACATCTGGACAAATGGACAGGTGGACACATGGATCGATGGATCGATCGATGGATGGATCGATGGATCGATAAATAGATAGATAGATAGACAGACAGACAGACAGACAGACAGACAAACAAATAGATAGATAGATAAATAAATGATACAGTATATTAACACCGCCTTTTACAGTATATTAACACTGCCTTTTCGAACATCCCAACCCTTATGATCTGCCTCCAGTCCCATGACTTCAGCAAACGAGCACCAGGACTCTTCTTGTAAAGGTATCCGCCTGAGCGCCCAAAGGCAAAACATGCGTGCTGTTTTACAATTGACATTCACAAATATTTGAGAGACACTTTCCCGACTGGAAGGTTGCAATCTCCGTGGACTTCGCAAGTTGTACAAGTTATGTAGGTGCCGTGGGCACCTTTCGGCCAAAGCAGATTTTTCCAGGTTTGCACCCTTCCTGCATGACCACATCTGGCCTACCTTTTATTGGACTCGAGCCACGCCAGCTGATGATCCACTATAAATACCTTGCTTTAGTGGATCACCTATGAGGACCAGTCTTTTTGAAGACTTGCCACACTGTTAGTCTATATACTCACATCACTAGTGGTGTAAAAGTGTGCTGTGAATACAATCTTGCGCTGAGGGGGCCATGCTAGAAAAGAAGCTTGACTGGGACTGGTTTACCTGCATTCATTCTGCTCATCTCATTGTAAATAGCAAGGTGGGCGGCCTCTCCCACCAAACATAGGGCCGATACGATGACTTGGTCTAAAGCAGAGGCCATTTTAGGAAGCCTCCAAGCCAGTCCGCCGAAAAAGCGTTCTCGGTCGCACACATCCCGCACCAAGTGCAATCAAAGTTACGCAAATTGCGCATTGGAAGAGGAGCCTCAGCCACACCGGCCGGGGCAAGGAGAATCGGGTTCAGGCAAAAATAATGTAATGGCCATACTGAGTCATCCACCGATGTCTTGGAACCTTCGCCCAAAAAGGCTTCAATAGTCCCGGGTATGTCAGTGCGCGCATGTTCGCAGTCCGAAGCTGACACCTTGCTCCTTGCCTCCTTCAAGCTGCTTCCAGCTCGTTCCGGTTCGTCGCACGGTTCTTCTGTCATTGCTTGCGGCTCTTTCAACTCGTCCTCGGCCACCGGAGATGGCTCAGCCTCAGCCTGGCAAGGCTCCGCTGGCTCAACTGCGGCCTCCTTCAGCTCGGGTGATGTCTCAGTGGTCGGACCTGCTTCAGAAAGCATAGCTGGCTCCGCTTCTGGCAACTGTGGAGCCTCTTCCAGTTCTTGCTTCTTTGTGATTACCTCCTTCACTTCCAAAACCTCCTTGACTGTTTCCTTGACCTCCTTGATTCGCTCTGGGGATCGCTCTGGTTGCTGATCTGCTTTTGGTGGATGTGGATATCCCTTGGTCTCAGCAGCTTCGCTCTCAGCCTCACCTGCCTCCTTGCGGCGCTTCTCCTCCAAGCGTCGCTTGCGAGCAGCATCATTGTTCCGCGTGAGTTGCTTGTCAATCTCCCCGCGAAAATAGGCGTCTGTCACTGGATAGCCCAGCTTGCACAAACTGGGATTTGACTTCAAAGCACGCAAAAAGGCCTCAGTGACCAGGCGGCCATTAGCAGTGTTATTGCACCGCAGCTCCTGTAGAGCTTCGTTCACGCTGGTGCCATTGGCGATGGACTCCAAGGTCAAGGGTTGGATCACATTGGTGTCGATGTTCAATACCTTCACAACATTTCACAACCCATTGTGCAAACCGCATCCTGGACTTTTGACTGAGTGCCTTGAGAGAACGGTTGGAGCGCAATGACACGGCCAGGATGGCAGCCTCCTGGTCCTGCAAATTAGTGCAACCCATCAGCCTCAGCAAAGAGCAAGAATGAATGAACCACACTAAATGAGGAGCAACAAAGGTCCGACTCTCAGATGCAAAAGTTGTCAGAGTCAAGCAGCAGGTGCTCAATGTGCGTATTGCCTGGGTCAATCAAGATGCATTACGCTCCTGCCCAACGCCAACGCCAATGCAAAATGGTCTCTTTGTTGCGTATTTTCCTCGCAAACGGTGCACCCTGTCAAGAGCTTACTGAATCAGAGACAAGTTGCTCTCCATTGCAACTGCTAGCTTTGGAGAGATCAACGGCTCCACATTACCTTCTGGCATCTTCAAATTGGTGAAATCCTTAACTCAACTGCGTGGACACAATTGCATTCTCAAGCAGCATGCCAAAGCTTCTGGCAATAGTTGTTGAAGACTGGAGCCACCAAACCCGCCAAAGGGGTCATCCCTTCATCTTTGCGACTTATATAATCTACAGGGCAAGCCTGTTGGAACAAGCATCGAATTTGACCAACGTTGGGTCATCCAAGTGGGCACGATGGACCATCCAAATCATCCAATTCCCAAGTTTTGTCGCTTTGCTCGCCTTTGCCTGCAGAGGCTGCGCGTCCAAAGATATGCAAGGTTCCCGCTGCAGGTTTGCCGGCCACGAAGGACATGGCAACGAAAAAAAAACAGTTTGTTTGGCCCAGTTCCAAGTCCAAACAAGTGTAAAATCAGAGGGCCACAGCACCCTTAAAGGACTGGAGACCGTGGAAGGCAAATGGGAGACAAGTGTAAAATCATGCGGCCAGAGCACCCACAAGGGACTGCACACAGTGAGGGGCAAGTGGGAGACTAATGTAAAATCATGCGGCCAAAGCAGAATCATGCGGCCAAAGCACCCACAGCGAACTGGAGACAGTGGGAGCCAAATTGGAGACAAGTGTAAAAATCATGCGGCCAAAGCACCCACAAGCGAGTGGAGACAGTGGGGGGGTAGTGCAAAATCATGCGGCCAGAGCACCCACAAAAGACTGGATACAGTGGGAGGCAAGGGAACACAAGTGCAAAAATCATGCGGCCAGCGCACCCACAAAAGGGACTGGAATGAGAGACAAATGTAAAATCATGCGGCCAGAGTCCAGAGCACCCACAACACAAGGGACTGGAGACAGTGGGAGGTAAGTGGGAGACAAATGTAAAATCATGCGGCCAGCGCACCCACAATGGACTGGAGACAGTGGGGGGGCAAGTGGGAGACAAGTGCACAAGAGATTGGAGACAGTCGAGGGCAAGCGGGAGACAAGTGTAAAAT